CCTGAGACTATAATCCCATCAACTGGCCTTTCATTGTGGCTACACCCAATCTCCTGGTTCTATTAACCAAGCCTGGCCTTCCTTTGCCTTGCTTCCCTATGGCCCCAGGCCACTTCCCACCCTTGGTAATTCTATTACCTCATGGACTACTTGGCCAGTCCTAGATCCCGCCCGTATATAAGGTCCATCTTATCTCCTTTAAAATGCTTAGATTCTTATAATCTAGCCACTGCTCTGATTCTTATAATCTAGCCACTGCTCTGATTCTTAAAATCTAGCCACTGGTCAGATTCTTATCTAGCCAATAGCTTACTAATGTTCAGACTCCTTAAGAGTCTGCCCAATATGACAGATGTTCTAATAAACCTTGTTTTTGGCTGGAAAAAAAAAAAAGAAATGATGAACAGACGTACTTCAGAAAAATCTGGAAAGACTTGTATGGACTGATGCTGAGTGAAGTGAGCAGAACCAGGAGAACGTTGTACACAGTAACAGCCACATTGTACAATGACTAACTTTGATAGACTTAGCCCTTCTCAGCAATGCAAGGATCTAAGACATCTCCAAAAGCCTCATGATGGAAAATGCTATCCACACCCAAAGAAAGAACTATGGAGTTTGAATGCAGATCAAAGCATACTATCTGCTCTTTTTTTTTTCTTCTGTTTTGTTTCTTGTTTCTTGTGGTTCCTCCTATTGGTTGTAATTCTTCTTTACAACATGACTAATGTGAAAATGGGAATGTATATGCAGAGCCTATATCAGATTGCACGCCATCTTGGGGAGGGAGGTGAGGATGGAGGAGGAGAAAATTTAAAACTTAAAAGCTTATGGAAGTGATTGTTGAAAACTAAAAATAGATTAATTAATTTTAAAAAAAGAAGAAGAGATCCTGGATCCAGCAGAGAAGAGCCTAAATTTGTAAAGGGCACGTGAACAGGTGCCAATTGGCACCTCTGTCACTACTTAGCTCTGAATTGTACATCCAGAACAAACTGAGGAGGGGAACTGTGCCTAAGCATGGTGTTCCAGGGAGAAGAGTGGGTAAGGGTCTTCAGGTGTGTTCTGATCAAGGTGCCAGTTCAGAAGCAAGTAGCACCTGTGTGGCTTGGACCCCAGGAATGAGTGGGGTCTCAGCTTCAGCTTCTAGCCCAGTATAAAGCCTGTGATAGAATAACAAGGGTGGGAATCCTAGACCAAAGGGAAGACTATAGCTCCATCACTGTACTAACAGAGCTTTCCAAATGGCTGATAGTGGCTGAGTTTAGAAGTAATCTACTGAAATTCCAAAAATTGCAGGTCCACCAGCCTATTGTTCAGACCCAAACTCAAGTCAGGAACTTGCAGAGCTCATATCAGGGAGACAATAATCAGACTCTGCCCTGGATCACACCACTTTGGGGACACCAAAAGTATGCAGGTTTCCAGTCTGACTTGGATCTTGGAATAACACAACATTGAGTACCCCAAGAAAGCACCAACAGGACCAGCCCAGAAATTCCCTCCAAAAGTGTGCATACCCCTAATGTAAAACCTAAAGTCAGGAAACAAGCTGGGAAAATGAGTAAACAAAAAAATAACCTCACCATAAAAAGCTACTTCATTGTGGTTACAGGGATGCTCAGAATATAGACCCTGAAAGAGAAAATGACTGAAAAATCTCAAAGAAAAAACACAATTTAAGTACAAAGTTAACTAGAATTCCTGGAAGAGACAAAGCAAGAGTTTTAAAAAAGAGTTTAGCAATGGTTTTTAATAAATGAAATGAGATTTAGAGGAAAAAATTAAGAAATGAGGGTTATGAATGAAAGAAGTAGAAAGAGAATTAACAGGTTAGCACAAGAGGTATAAACCCTTACCCAAGAAATAAACTCCTTGAAAATCAGAATGGACCAAATAGAAGCTAATGATTCCATGGGACAATAAGAAAGAAAACAAAGTCAAAAGAGTGGAAAAAAAATAGAAGGAAATCTAAGGTATATCATAACAAAAACTGTCCTGGAAAACAGACCAGGGAGAGGTAATTTAAGAACCACTAGACTACCTGAAAGTCTTGACCAAAAAAAAAACAAAAGAAAAGGAAGAAAAAAGAGCTCTGAAATCAGATTTCAATAAATCATGAAAGAAAATTATCTAGATAGATCATCATCATCTCTTTCTCTTCCTCTTCTTCTTCATCACCATCACTAGGTTTTATATAGCACTTTAAGGTTTGCAAATCTTATCTTATTTGGTCCTCATAATAATCCTGGGAGGTAGATGCTATTATTATTCCCATTTTACAGATGGGTAAACTAAGGCAGACGGCTGTCAAGTAAGTTGCCCAGCGTCATACAGCTAGAAAGCATCTGAAGCTTCATTTGAACTTAGGTGTTTCTGAGTCCAGGTCAGGCTCTCTATCCACTGTACTACATGGCTGCCTCTAGACCCAGAGAACTAAGTGGAAATAGAAAGAATCTACTGGTCACCTCCTGAAAGGAACTCCAAAATGAAAGGAAGATCACAGCCCAACTCCATAGATTCCAGGTCAAAAGAAAAAATACTGCAAGAAGCCAGAAAGAAAGATTTCAAATACTAAAGAGCTATAGTTAGGATCATATAGGATTTAGCAACTACTACTATACAGAAGCCAGAGCTTGGAATACAATATTCCAGAAGGCAAAGGCTACAAAGGCTTAGGGCCATAAATATCTTTCTCAGCAAAACTGAATATAATTCCATAGGGAAAAAATAGACCTTTAATAAAATAGAGGACTTCCAAGCATTCCCAATGAAAAGACCAGAGCTGAATAGAAAATATGAAGTAGAAACACAGAGGTCAAGAGAAATACAAAAAAGTAAACGTGAACAATCATAAGGGACCAAAAAAGACAAAATGTTTACATTCTAATATGAGATGATATGTATGTCTCATCAGAATCCCATCATCATCAGAGGGCATAGAGGGAATCTAAGATAGAAGGCCTGGGAGTGTTTCTACTATATGATTTTAAAGAATAGAAAGGGAGAGGAAGAGGAATACAGTAGAGAGGAAAAAAGAGAGGAAAGTTAGGGGAACTTATGTCACATAACTGGGGTGTGGATGGTAGGATTCTATAAAAACAAAGAAGAAGGGGTGGAGGGAACAGCTAACACATAATCTCATTCTCAACTGAACTGGTCAAAGAAAGAAAAAACAAACACACAATTGGGTACAGAAATACATCTCAATAGGAAAACAAGAGAAAAAGAGGAGAAAGCAGAATGAGAGGGAAGGTAGATTAAGGGAGGGATTAGTCCTGAGAAAAACCAACTTCTGTGGAGGCAAAGAATTGGAAGCTTGGGTGGGAGGATGCTCACGAATTGGGAAATGGCTGAATAAGATATATAGACATAGCTACACACATATATTTATGACAGTATGCATATGTATATGTGTGTGTATACATGTGTGTATATAGGTATGTGTACATATATGTATGCTGTGTGTATGTGTACACATACAGGTATGCTGTGTTTATATGCGCACATAGGTATGAACACTTGTACATGTACATTGTATTGTATATATCATATAATCACATATATCATGTACATATATGATATGATAGAATACTATTGTGCTGTAAGAAACAAAGAAGGGGATAGTTTCAGAAAAACCTGGGAATATTTGTATGAATTAATACCAAGTGGAATGAGCAGCAACAGGAGAACAATTTATATAATGGCAATAATATTATAAAGGCAAACAACTTTTAAAGACTTGGGAATTCTGATCAGTATAATGACCAACCACACAATTCCAGAGGACTAATGATGAAATTTGCTATCCACCTCCTGATAGAAAGGTAAAGGATTCAAGAGTATAGAATGAATGTTTTTACAGGGAGAGACATGGCCAATGCAGATATTTGTTTTGCTTAACTAGACATGTTTGTGAGAGGGGGTTATTTTCTTTCTTTTTCAATGGTGGTTGAGGGGAGGAGGAAGTGGAAGGGAGAGAAGGCAGATTTTTGCTGAATGCATTTTTTTTTTTTTAAGAAACAAAAGCATCCTCCATTACAGGGGTGAATGCCTTTGATAAGCCTATGTCTTCCTCTTTTAAAACCCAGTTGGCAATAACCAAAGGGTCAAAAACAGAATTATCTTAGTTGTATTTATCTTCTGATGATAAAATTCTCTGTACTTAGTTGGGCTGATCTTTGGAAAGCAAGCTCATTCTGTCACTGGACCTTTACCTAAATAAGTCTTTCTATCACAGCAGAACCTGCCATAGCTCAGACTTTAACCCAGCTGTGAGAATTTTCAGTCACCTTCATTCCATGCTGAAGCTTCAGAGTAAGACTTTATGGAGGCAATAATAATTAGTAACCAGATGGATAGTTGTTGTCCTTCATTCTCAAAGAGGACCATAATGATATCACTATATTGGAGTCAAGGTACAGTGTGTCTGACTGTGGCTGATCAGAGACCAATATGAGTTTGGAATGCTCTACCACAAGTCAGGCACAAATAGTCCATATGAACATTTGGGGTGGAGATGTCTCTAAATCTGTGCATCTAGTCTTTCTTTTGAGCTATTGCAATTCTGCTTCACTCATAGAACACAGTGCCTTCTTTAATGTATGTTTGCTTCAAAGACTATTTTACAGAGAACTCATGCAAGGAAGGTGCTCACATGGCGGTCACAAGGACACTCTCAAGGTCTTTCTGAAGAACTTTGTAATCAATCACATGATGCGGGAAATGCTGGCAAAAGTCCACCCAGCATGGCGTGCCCACATCAAAGTACCAACCAGATAATTCATAGTCAGCTAATCAAGAGATGCCAAAACTTCAAATGATCCTTCCAACAGAAGATGATGCTTTCGGGACTTTGTCACTCTTCCCTATGTGTGGTCACTCAATAGCAGAAAGAACAGCTATTAAATAGGAGCTCTTTACCCAAGAATGGAGAAGAGGAAGAAAGGCCCAAGGCAGGTTCAGCATCCATCCAACACTATCTTAGTGCTTAATATGACTGTTCCTATACCTGTGGTGGCGATGACTCCTCTTCATGGTCACTCCCAGGATGGCAAGCAGTATGATGGCAAAGCAAACAATCCCTACGATGATCACATGCTGATAGTTACTCAGCACATCAGTTCTGAAGGCACCTGTGAGCTTCAGTGCTTGAGGACAGACACAAACAATACAGAGAGCTGGTGTTAGACGCTTCTTAAGACTCTCTTCCTCAAGAATCATACTCTTTGCTTGCTGTGAGTTCAGACACTGGTATTTCCAAGGCAGTTCAGCAAATATTTAATGAGTAGCTAGGAACAGGGAGGTAGGCCAACTTCCACCCCAGATTACATTATTAGGACAGTAGTTCTTGACCAGTTTCGGACCTAAAGTCTAATCCTACTTACTCATCCCCAAAGTATGGGTTAGAAGTAGAAAGGAAGGGGGGGAGGGGCTTAATTTTCTACTACCACCAGCAACATCATCTTTTCTTAATGGCTTGCCAGGCTATTTATTCAAGCCTTCCCACAGACTTAGAATCTTGTGCTCTCCAACACTGGCCACTCTGTTCCTAACAGGACTGTGTCTAAATATTCTTAAATCTATGGCATTAAGATTTAAATCTGAAGACTGTGTTTCTTATCATGCTCATCCCTAACTTCTCCTTTCTTTAGTCACAATTTAATATTACTGGGTCTACAGACAGTGCTATTAACCAGCAAGAAGAAAGCTCTTGCTATATTCATAAGTGGTCATTTAGCCTCTGTTTGAAGACCTCTACAGAAAGGCAATCAGTGTCTCCCAAGGTAACTCATTCTACCTTAATAGCTCTAATTGTCAAAAGGTCAGTATAACAACCTAAATCTATTCATTTGCAATTTCTATCCATTCATCCCAACTCTGGCCTATAGGACCACACAAAAGGATTCTATAATCCCTCTTCCATGTGATTACCCTTTTCAAATACTTGCAAGACAGCTATCAAATTCCCCCCTAAATCTTCTCTTCTCCAGGCAAAATATTCCCATTTCTTGCAACAGATCCTCAAATGACACGATTTCAAGGTCTTTCACTATCCTAGTTGTGTGCCTCTAGGCACTCCCCAGCTTATCAATGTCCTTCCTAAAACGTGGTACCCAGAATGGAACCTAATATTTGAAATGTGGACTCACCAGGAAGAAGCAGGACTATTACCATTGCCTAGTCCTAGGTCCTAGACTGTAGGCTTCTCTCAATGCAGCCTGAAATCGCATTTGCTTTTTTGACTGCCATGTCACACTGTTGTCTCATATTGAGTTTGGCGTCCTCTAAAATCCCCCAAACTTCTTCAAACTGCTATCTAGTCATGTGTCTCTGCCATCTTATGCTTATGAAGTTGATCTTTCTTGGATAATACCTACAGTGCCCACCTCACAGGTTGGTTGTCAAGATTAAATGAGGTAACATATATAAGGTACTTTGCCAATTTTCAAATGCTACATAAATGTCAACCATTATTGTTAATGATAGTAAACACTCTCCAAGAGAGATCCTGCATTGTCCATCTTCCCCATATTTCCCCTGCCACCACCATCCATTGGGAAGACTCAATTTTCCCAACACAGTGGGCAAGGCATCAGTATGGCTGACTGACCAAATTTTGCCCCTTATCCCCAGGCCTCCTGCCCCTTAGGTTAAGCTCTCCCCATGACCAAACATTCACATACTTGTGAGCTTAGCTGGGACTACTCGCAGCATGGTTGTCTTCTTAAAAACAGCTGTCTCTTTGTGGACCTGGATCTCACAGGTGTAGACTCCTTGATCAGCCTCTCTCACATTCTGCAGCAAAATGGAGCCATCGTTTTCTGAGAGTTTCCCCACCAAGTGCACACGATCCTTGAAGTGCCCCACAGGCACACTGAGGTTGGCAAAGTAACATAGCACTAGGAGGTGATGCAGAGTCAGAGAAAGTCAAAAGATGAGCTGTGCCAAGTCTGGGGTTTTACGGGCACAGATGCCTGTTGCTGTCTGTGGATAATCAATCATTATCATCAGAAAACTTTTATTATACACCTAATGCATGGCTCTGTCCAGAATCTAGCACTGAAATAAACCTTTGCCCCTGCCCATCAGCTGCCTACAGTCTAAAACAGGGGTAGGGAACCTGCAGCCTTGAGGCCACATGTGGCCTTCTAGGTCCTCGGGTGCAGCCTTTGACTGAGTCCAAGTTTTACAGAACAAATTCTTTTATTAAGGGGATTTGTTCTGTGAAGTTTGGATTCAGTCAGAAGACTGTACTTGAGGACCTAGAGGGCCACATGTGACCTCAAGGCTGCAGATTCCCCACCCTGATCTAAGACAACATATGATATTTTCTGGTGAGGCAGGTACATAACCACTGCAGTGATAGCTTCTGCTCTAGAAGTCTAAAATGCCATTCTCTTTGCTAGAGGGTTTCCCCAAAATATCCCCACCCCACCTGGTGTCCTGTAATCCTACAGTCCTCTAGCAGTCAAGTTAGATCACTCTTCCTATTGGATGAGAAAGTAAGGCACAGAAAGAACATAAGGAATGAAACTCAGGACCCCTGAGTATCATGGAGCCAACCTAAACCCCATCCCTCTCCTGCTGAACTGTTTCCACAGAACCCTGGGTCCTCTGCACAAAGTGACCGTAGTGGTTATGTGAGAAAATGCCCATGCTATCACTCCAGAGGACTGATTGGGAATCAAACGTGACTCCCAGCTCTGGACGCAGAGCTGATGGTCTAGAGGGGCAAAACGACAAATGTGTTTTTGGACAAAGCCAATGTATGAATGTGTGTTACTTAACTGTGCTTATTTGTTATAAGGGAAGATTTTAAAATGTTTGTGGTTGAGGTGTACTGGGGGGAAGAGTGATAGTGATGCCAAAACAAAGAAAAGTGTCTCAATGAAGTATTTTTAAAAATAACCAGAAGAGAACAGAAAGTAGTCAGAGGAAGACACAGACAAGCAAAATCGCTCTGAAACTAGTACAATGAATTTATTATATATTTTTAAAAAAACAAGCCATACATAATAGAGATCAAAGGTTTCCTATACAATCTTAGAACCTCAGGATCATATATTTAGAGCTAGAAAGGAGCTATAAGGCCACTGAGTTCAACCCCTTCATTTTAGGGATGAGGAAACTGAGGTACAAAAAAGATTAAGTGACTTGCCCAGGCTCACACAGCAAATAAGTATCTGAGACAGGATTTGAATCCAGGTCTTCCAGACTCCAAATCTACTGCCCTATACCTATACCACAGAGTCTCTATTCTTTATATATTGAAATGTACATGTTTATTGATGTTTCTCAAATTAAGAATAACAAAAAAAGAAAATGCTTATGTTAATGAGCCATCTGGGAGGGGCCATTTTTCCTCCTAACCCAGCAGAAGGGTCTTCTAACAGAAGGAAGGCTGCATACACCAAGCCATAGGCCAGCCTTTCTCACCTTTACCCCTCACCCCAGGTCTGCAGGAGCCTGCGCACACATACACCACCCCAATGTCTGCCCTGACTAAGATCTACAAACTCACCCTTATATACCTCCCAACACACACACACACACACACACACACACACACACACACACACACACTCTCTCTCTCCTCTCTCTCTCTGTCTCACCACCCCCCGCCCGCCCTTCAAATGATCTCCATTCTTCTAAAAAGAAAATTCAAGGGAGAAGATGAAGACAAGACATCCTGCAGCCATGACCTCTACTTTGTGGTTTTCTTTCAAAATTTTGCATATGTCATAAGAATCCTGTGTCACAAATCTGGGCCCTAATGTAACTATCCCCAGAGTGGTCACTGACTTAACCAGGAACTTCTGCATTTGTGGGTTCTGTCAATAAATTTAAATCTCTAAAGTATCCCACAGGAGAAGGGAAGGGAAAAAAGATTTATTAAGTACCTCCTCGGAGCCAGGCACTATGCAAAGTGCTTTTCAAATATTATCTCACTTGATCTTCATGACTACCCTGGGAGGTAGGGGGTACCATTATACCCATTTTAGAGTTGAGGAAACTGAGATTAAATGACTTCCCAGGGTCATACCCTGAGGCCAAATTTAAACTCAGGCCGTCCTGACCCCAGGCCCTGTGCTCTAGCCACTGTACCACCTAGAAAGGCTATTCTATTTGTCAGACTACAATGACTTTCCCTTTCCACGCCATTCTAGAAATGTGGTGCACTGGTTTTATTTTCCACAAAGTTGTAAAATTGGAAGCCACTTTCCTAAGCAACTGAACTCTCTCCCTGTCCCCACTGCTGCATAACCCTCAGCTGGAGGAATCCCTATCAGGCACCACTTCTCCCTTCTCATTACCTCGGCTCCTTCGAGGAGAACATCCAGTCCACTTTAGTCACCTGTTTCTTCACATTGCTTGGTAAAACATAGCCCAGCAGGGCTGAGTCACCCACACGTGCCATCAGTTCAGGGGAAGAAACAACCATGTCATTTAGACCGCACATACAACCTAAAAAATTCAAGGGCAAGGAGAAAAAGTTTAAATGGACAACTTAATCAGGAGAAATAAAGGTTTGCCACCAAGTACAATATACCTCCCTCCTAAGAAGAGCTCTCTCATTCGAAACAAAAATGGAGCCAACAAGGTTAAGTGAAATACTTTCCAGTCAGTCAATAAACATTTGTTAAGCACCTACTATGTGCTAGATAGCATGATATGCACTGAGGATACAAAGAAAAGTAAACAGAGTGCTGGGCCTAGAGTCAGGAATCCTTTAATTCAAATCCAGCCTCAGACACTTACTAGCTGTGTAATGTGAGCAAATCACTTGTCTCTGTCCATTTCCTCAACTACAAAATAGGGATAGTAATAACACCTACCTTGCAGGGCTGTTGTGAGGATCAACTGAGGTAATTTTGGTAAAATGCTTAACCACAGTGAATGGCACATAGTAGGTACTATATAAATGCTAATTCCCTTTTCCTACCCCCCTTCTCTCAAGGAATTGATCTAATGGGAGAACATCAAAACCATCTGGTGTTGGTTAAAGAATAGAGAGATCAATGAAACAGCCTAGGCAAGGGAGATTCCAAAACAACAGAAATCATTAACCCTGCATTTGATAAAGGGGAAAACATAAAAAAACTCCCTATTTGATAATAAATGCTAGGAAAACTGGAAAGCAGTCTGGTAGAAATTAGGCTTAGACCAACATCTGCTTCTGCACAGACAAATTAATGCATCTACGATAAGAAGGAAAGTGGTCAAATGGGAAAAGATCTTTGTATCAAATTTCTCTGATAAAAGTTCGGTATCCAAGATACATAAACAATAAATATATGTAAGACTAACAGCCATTCCCCAATAGACAGTCAAAGGATATGAACAAACAGTTCTCAAAAGAAAAATTATATAACCACATGAAAAAAATGGTCCAAATCACTAATAATAAGAGAAATGCAAATCAAAACAATCCTAAAGTTTTACCTCACACCCCACATATTGGCAAAAATTTCCAAAAATGGTAACAGTCAATGCTGGAGGGGTTATGCAAAGAAAGACATACTCATACATCGTTGGTGGAGCTGAGTTTGAAATTATGCAAATAAAGTGACCAAAATATTTACACCCTTTGAACCAGAGACTCTATTACAGGGATTATTCTCCAAGGAAGCCAACAATAAAGGGGAAAAAAGTCCCCATATGCTCCAAAATATTTATAGCAGCATTTTTTGTGATAGCTAAGAATTACAAACAAAGTAGATGCCCATTGCCCATCAACTGGGAAACTGGGGAATAACCACCAAAAAACTGTGGTACATGAAGGTAATGGAATATTACTGTGCTGTGAGAAATGATGTGTGTGATGAATATAGAGAACCATTGAAAGATCTATATGAACTGATGCAGAGTGAAGGAAGCAGAGCCAAGAAAACAATATAGTAACTACAAAGTAAAAACAGTGGCTACATACAGCAGTGGATAGAACAAGTGCATACTAAAAAATCAAAAGTAAATTTAAAAAATTATAAAGATCAAATGGTACTCAAATGAAGAGATATGAGAGGACACACCAAAACTACCCTTTTGTGGTAGTGGGAGGTCTACAGATATCACACATTGCACACTTCAGGTTTTTTTTTTTTCAATTTTTCAGTCAATTATACTGACTTTTTTTTCCTCTCCAAAAAAATGCTATTTGACATATGAGATGGCTCTCTGGGATACATGGGATACTATGGTGATGTCAGAAACAAAAGATATCAATAAAAACATTTTTTTTGAATTATAAGGTCAAATAAGGAAAAAAATCTAATCGGGGAGAAAACAAGCAAATAACCAAGTACAAACAAGCTATGTACAGTATAAATAGAAAATGATCATCAGAATAAAGGCACTAGAATTAAATGGGATTAACAATTACTTCCTATAGAAAGTAGTCACCCAACCTGGGTTAAGTGAAAAGAAATGTGCCATAATATTTATGCAAGGACTGTGCTTGTGCTTCTCATACGCACTTATGTAATAATGGTATTAGATTTTACATGTTATTTATGTTAGTTATTTGTATTAGTTGTACAAATTTCATATTAGTTATGTATTTATATGTGTATGCTGTGGACTTACAAGCCTCATGAAAGCAGGTTACAGCTTCCAGCTACACATGATACATCCCCCAGCGCCTAGCACAATGCTCTACACACAGCAGGCATTTAAAAGAGACGTGATGGACTTGAATAAATCATAAAATGCCAACTGCCAGACTTACATAATAAATACCCCGTGCGTGTACTAAAAGAAAACAGGGGAAACCCAACTTTCTGATCACCTACTTGTGTGGCCACATCTAATAAACAGAAGTGGAAAATTACAATTCTTGCTCTTGGTCAAAAAACCACTGGTTCCTTAATCTAAAAAAGCCAAATCACGGGTTGTTGTTTTTTTTTTTTAACCTCTATTCTTTTAAAAAGTTATAAGACTTGCTGGCTGATTCTAGCTTCAGGACAGATCATAGGATTCCTTGCTATTTGGCCAAGCATACATGCTCTTCCCTGACTGGGCCTTTTGTTTACCCTCTTCTGCCCCGCCCCCCCCAGCCACTGACTTCCCAGTTGGTGGGCCCTTCCAACTGCCTGTTGTCTTCCCCCAGGTGCATCATAAGCTGCACAGAGTATTTCGAGGCCAATAACAGAGAACGCCATTAGACAAGTTGGTATTTCACATTTCACAGCCCAGCATCTCTACAAATGAATAAGGTCAGGGAAAAAATGCAAGGGAGGGAAAGGAGAGTAACACAGGCACAAAGCCATAGACTAGGTTATAACTAGATATAGATCCTGCTCAATTCAGCTTGAAGAAAAGCCAAACAAAGCCACATGAAAATAAACAAAATCAATATGCCAATCTTTTCATCCAGGATCTTCTCCCTGAGAAGAGATATTTAACTTCCTCCCCAGCAGTAGGGACCCCAACATCTAAACATGATAGAATGAATTCTTTTGAAAGGAATCAAATATCTCCAAAGAATACCAGCAGGGAAGGCTTTAAGCTAACCAGTTGATTAACATTTGGAATGAGTTTGAGAAGAAGAAGTACAAGAGTGGCTGCTTCTAAAACAAATATCTAAGAAGCTAATTTTTAATACTGCTTTACAATCGGTAGTCATAGTATCAAATTCAAATAGAAATAGAAGCCACTGAACTATGCGTAGGGATCCCTGTAGGCTACATAGTGGCTTAGTTTCAAAGTACTATTATCCATGTTTTATTGTACTTTTGCTTATTTTGCTAAACGTACTCCAATTACATTTTAATCTGGTTCAGTCCAAACTCAGGAGTGTTGTGGGTCACATGTGGTCCACAGACTGTATGACTGACACCTCTGATCAATAGCATTTTTTTTTCCTCCTATATTATGCTGTCTGTTCTGTAGAGCTCTCATTTCAGTTCTGGTATCATTTTTTAATTCTTTGCTTCATTTTTTCTAGGAATTCCAGCATAGCTTGTGGCACATATCTAAATTTCTTTCAGGCTATATTTGTAGATAATGTAGTTATTTTCTTCTTCTGGATTTATTTCCTGAGTGTCTCTCCCTCCATAACATCTCTTAATTTTTATTTTCTTCTGTTTACTCATTTCTGCAGCCTTTCTTCATGAACTGGGACTTTGAGCTGGCGTCAGGTTCTGTGTACCTCTTGATGGAATGGTGAGGCCTTCTTTGGTACTGTCTTGTATTATCTTGGTGTCTGGGTGATGGGCACTGTGGTAAAGGTGCCTAAGTGCCAGGGCAATCTACATGAAATGGTTTGATCCAAAGCATGCCCTGATAGCTGCCTTCCCCATCAGAGTCCAGCAAGCTTCTGAGCCCTGGTTTGGGGTCAAAGTAACATAGCTGCAGGCTCCATGTTTCTTGGGTTAGGCCCTGATCCAGGTCCCTAGCACAAAGTGCATCAGATTCCAAGTTTTCCAGGCTCACCTTTTGTCAGAAACTGCAAAATCTTCAGGCAACTTTATGGCTAGGCTGGGCTTTTCTGTCTGGATTGCTTCCTTAGATCCCAAAGGTTTCTGCCTGTCTCTTTGTACAGACCTGGGCTGGCAAAATGCACTAACTGTAGTTCTCCCTGCATTTCTTGATCAATCCTTGCTGTAGGAGTTGTGCAAGAGCTGGGCTTTGCTGCTCCCTCCCCTTTGGTCATCTTAAAGAGTGGCCTATCTAAAGCATTTAAGTGAAGATCTACCAAAGGTTAACAGCAGCAGGAGAAAAGCCAGAGATAAAACCTGAGACTGAAGGATGAACTTTTACAGAAAAATATTAGTAAGCAGCTGCAGAGAAAAAGATACTTCTCACCTTGGATGGGGGCTACTTCCCCAAAAGTAGGCTACGCAAGCCAGAATACTAGGCAGAATTTCTTAGAGTTGAGGCCACTGCTCCTCCATGCCCAGCCAAAATAGTTCAAAAGCCTCAGGTTTTCCCACAGGTCACACACAAGATCCCCCCTAGATCCATTTCCCTGACACACACATTCTCTAAGGCACAGCCTTTGTGTTTGAATATGGTTGTGCCTCACATCCACAGGTGAAGGCCTCTGCTGTGGGTGACATACTAAGTCAGATAATGGCCCAGTTTTCATAACTTCAGAAAGCAAGAGGCATTCATACACCTACGAAAACACATATATACACTTAAGACCCGGGCATCAAGGAGGGAGTATATGGAGCAAAAGCATTCTCTCTCCCTGCAAAGCCATGAAGCAAATAGAAAAAAAAGAATGAAAAAAGAAGAAAAGACTAAGACTAGTGGAACCCAAGGTCCCTCACCCACACCATCTCTAAAACCATTTTTAGAGATCAGATTTAAGAATCTAAACCTAGATTATTATTACTTTTTCCATCAACTTCAGTACCTTCTCTGACCTACACTTCTGAAAAAAAATTAGACTGCCACAGCTTAAAAACAATCCTTTAAAAACAATAATAATAATGCTGATATATGTATATATAGCGATTTAAGTTTACAAATCACTTTCTTCCAATAACCTTGAAGAATAAGTAACTTAAGAATTATTATTTCCATTTACAGATAAGAAAATTGAAGCTCAAAAAGGTTAAATAATTTATCCAAAGTCACATCAATAATAAGTATTAAGACAAGTATTCAAACTTAGGTCTGCTGACAGCAAGATCAGCAACTTTCCATGTATATATATCATGCCATCTCCCTGAATACTATAATGAAAATGTCATATAATGGGCTCCCAGAATATCCAATAGGAAGTAGGTTACTCTACTCTTCATGGAATAGAGACTGAAACATCATTCCAAAAAAGAATTGGTCCAATGTATTTTAGGACAAATTTCTCAACAAAATTGCAAAGAGCAAAATTGTTGGTTCCTTTTAAAACACAAAGAGAACTGAAAACAAAACTGGTTTTAGAAGAAATTGAATAAGATTTATAAGAAATGAAGCCTCACATTTATACCCTCTGTCTTTACTTACCCAGCAACATAGCTATCAATTTGAGTTCCAATGGATAAAACATTTTTCTGCCTTTTTTCAACCTTCAAAATAAAAACAAAGAAAAGTTTAAAGTCTACTTCAAGAGAATGGACAGCAATCAACTGTATATTGACATTGGGGTGACAATACTAAATGCAATCCAATGAAGCCTAACAATTTCACATTCAAAAGCACTGACTATATAGCCTTGAAATTCTCATCTGTCTTCTCAAATGAATTGGAAACTTTATTTAAGCATCATGAAAAAGTGAATGATAGAGTGCCAACTTTGGAGTCAAGAAGAATTGGGTTCAAGTTCCCCTTGGACACATGATTGTGTGCCCATGAACAAGCCATTTGGTCAAAGAAGAGTTGCCAATCTACAGGGACAGAAGAGTCGCCATTTTAGAAGCTCCCCACATTTATGATATTACAAGTCTAGGTCTTCCTCTACTCCCATCCCCACCTTACCAAAACCAAAGAAGAAGGGGTAGGGCATGCAAACAGAGCAGGAGATGGATATAGAAGGACAAAAGTCCTAATTCACTTAATTCCATCCATGTAACAGTGCAGCCACATGAGGTGGCTGGGACAATCTGTTACAAGAGACTGGTAATGGAAGAGAGGAAATTAGTCAGGGAACAGACAGAAGGTTGTCCAAATCAACAATGCAGTCCAAACTTCACCCTACCTACCAGCTCCTCTGGAAGGGCTCAGGTCCCAAGAGGATGATTCCTCTACACCATTCAACTTCACATGAGGCTATTGGTCTCAGTCAGATCTATTTTCTATTTCTCACAATGGAAGGGGAGGTCATCCTCTGCCAGCAGGAGAACACACCACATAAATAGGGTAAGATGAAAGGACATATGAAGATAGAGGAACTGTTGGTCATCTTTGCTCTGATAAGTCTGGCTCTCATATCATGTCTGGCTTTATTCATAACCCACATCTGAGCAAGAAAGGATCACCTGGAAGTTTGCAATTTCATTTTCTAATTCTTAACTCTACTGTCATCAGAAAAAAACCAGCAAACTATACCAGAAGGCCATACAAAAAGGGGTATCACGAAGTAGCAAAAAGAACTCTGGTCTCAAAGTCAGAAGACAAAAGGTTCTGGTCCTGGCTCTGCTACTTACTCCTTGGGGGACACTGTCTCTGACCTTCAGTTTCATCATGTAAAATAGGGAGGGGGGAGTAGTGGGAAGGAGACAAGTGCAGAATAATACCTGTCCTACCTTCCTTGTAGAGTTATTCTCCCAATTGAGATGATATAAGTTACAGCATCATTTACTACCACGTTGTAAACTACTACAAAGTACACTAGAATAGCAAAATAATAGAAGCAATGTGCCCAACAACTGGGGAGTGGTTGAATAAATAGTATAAGGATATAAGGCAACTAGGTAGTACATTGAATGGAGTGCCAGGCCTGGAGTCAGGAAGACCTGAGTTCAAATATGACCTCAGACACTTACTAGCTGTGTGACCCTAGGCAAATCACTTAACCCTGTTTGCCTCATTTTCCTCATCTGTAAAAATGAACTGGAGAAGGCAATGGCAGTATCTCTGCCAAGAAAATCCCAAATGGGATCAGAAAGAGTCAGACATGACTGAAACAACTGAACAACAACATGAGGATATAATGGAATAGTTCTGCACTTTAAAAATGATAAATATAAAGAATTCAAAGAAATCTATAAAGTCATAAAAAGTAATACAGAGTGAAGAAAGCAGAACCAAAAGAACAATTTATACAGAAACTTCTTTTGCTTTTGATCTGCACTTGTGAATTCAACTGTAGAGAATTCCCTAAACAGAAATTCCCATCAATAATGCAGAAGGGCAACTTGTCTGCCACTTTTTATTCTTAGAAAATTGTTTGGGATAATGAGAGGTTAAGTGATTTGTCAACAGTCACAGAGCTAACATGTATCAGAGGCACGACTTGAACCCAAGTCTGAGGCCAGCCCCTCTCTCCACTGCACCCAGTCTGCCTCAAATTGATTACAACTGTGGCAATAAAGACATTGCACACCAACAGAATCCATTTTAAATTCATCAGACAACTGTGTTACTACCTTGTGAAAGTTAACATGAACAGTTTTTGTTTAATAATCAATCAGTAACAGAAGTGTACAGCTATATGCACAATCATTTGTGCCCTCTTTTCTGTTTTCTGTAATTGTTTTCATTTGGTTTGCTTTTTTGTTCTTTTGTTACTATTTCTGTATTTCAATAATGCCGTCAAGGGAAGTTAAAAGAAAATTTATTAATAAAAATATTTCTAAAACAAATTACAAAATATTAAAAAATTATAATAATAGAGGTTCATTATGATAATGGCACAGAAGACAAGAGGAAGGTAGTTTATTTGCATGGGTGTCTTTAGATCAGATTCACAGGGATATCACCAACAGCATACAGCTGTTGATCATAAGCCAAAGTGGTCAGACTTGAGCTTGTAAATTTTAGGAAGAGGATGGCAGGGGTGGGGAAGTATGAATTACAGTGAACATCAGAATTTAAAAATGAAAGCAGTAGACATCTTATGACATAACTAGTGTTTGCACTGATTCAGATACACTAAGAGTCATGTTAAATTCCCCAAAATTCTAAGTATATACAGCAATAGCCTGACATAAGGGTGATCAATAATGTGGATGTCAGTTCAGCAATCAACTCTTGTACCATTCATCAGATATAATCTTAAACATCATATCTGTGGTATTTGAGCTAATGATGACTCATCTAGATACTAAAACTAAAATGAAACCATCGACATGGACACTTCTTACAACTCTAGCACTGTTTCAAAAGGAAACCAATAACAGAGATGGCCCTGAATCTAGCTGCCAATCCTACGTATTACTTATTCACACCCAAAACAAAAGAGGAAGCAGCCCTTTATCAGAATCCAATACACCTATTTTCAGAAAACTATGTCCTACTTTCTCTAAGGACTATAAGATAGTGTTGCTGATCTTCATCGATGGAGTAAGTTTTTACACCCAGAGTTTCCCTATGAAATCTGATTTTTTTTTTAAAGTGATTAACTTAAAAAGACAAAAACGCAGATTCAAAGGATCACATTGTTGAAAAGAACCTCACAGGCCATCTCATCCAACTCATACCTGAACAAGAGGCCTCCTACAATATACTCAAATGGTTATTGAGTCTTTGCTTAAGATCTCCAGTAAATGTGAATCTACTACTTCCCAAAGTGGCCCATTCTACCACCAGTACAAAGTTTCTCCTTACATTGACCCTAAATCAGTATCCTTCACTTCCACCCACTGGTTTCAGTGCTGCCCTCAGGGACCACACAGAACAACTCCAATTCATTGCTCTTCCATTCAATAGCCCTTGAAGAGAGCAATCTTGTCCCCCCAAGCCATCCTTTTTAACCAAGCTAAAATCTCCAGTTTTTGCAATTGATCTTCACACTGCCACTCCTCACCATTCTAATGACCCCCTTCCCTTCTTGACACACTTTGGATTGCTTATGCATTTCCTAAAATGTGTTGCTTAGAACTGAACGAAATATCCAAGATGTGACCTGGCCAGGGCAGAGAAAACACTCCTCTGGAACATTCTCTGTCTCTCTTCAAGTAGTCTAAAACCACATTGGTTTTCCTGACCACTTGATTAAACTGCCGACTCTTGCTGAGATTTTCAGATTTTTTTCAGATGAATGTCCTCTATTCAAGCTTCCCCCATCATGTACCTGTGAGGTTGATTTTTTTTTTTAATTTCAAGTATAAGATTTTATCATTAAATTTCATCTTATTAAGATTTGGCTCAATGTTGTAGCTTATCAAGATCTTTTCGATTCTTGACTTTGTTATCTAATTCTAGCTATCCAGCTATCCCTTCCAGATATGTCATTTACAAATATGATAAGCACGCCATCTGTGCTTTACTCAAGTCATTGATAAAAATATTATAAACAGCAAAGGTCTCCTGGTTGGGGCCACTCCACTGAAAATTCCCAAGTTGACATCAGGGCATTACTGCCTGCTTGTTAGATCTAGCATTTGGGCAGCTTCACAATTACCTAAACTGCCTGACCCACACCTCTCTATACCTTCCAGAAGGATAATATGAGATTTTATCAATTGCTTTGCAAGAAATCTAGGTAAACGCTACAGCATTCCTCTGATTACAGTGGTCAGATCATTTTTAACTACTGGCTCTTTCTCTGCTATCTATGAACATAGCCAGATCTCCCCCCACCCAAAATTCCTTCACCTAACCCTATAATCCCCTCAAGGCATTATCTTCTAAATCTGTCTCCTCATTTTCACAACTCAACTTCTAGAAAGAAGCTGTCTCACCTTAATATTGTCCACTTTCTCAGTTCTCAACCCTTTGCCACATGACTTTTGACCCCATCTCTCAATTCAAAGTGCTCTCTCCAAGGTTAGCCACAATTCAATTGCTAAATCCCACAGCCTTTTCTCAGTTCTCTCTCTTTGACTTCTCAGAAATTTCTAACACTTTCAACTTGCCCCTCATCCTGGATACTCTCTCTCACCCTTTGGCCTCTACGACACTGCTCTCCTCCACCCCCCCTTGGTTCTCCCTTCTACCTGTCTAAGCACTCCTCAATCTCTATGTTCCAGCTCCTATGTGGTGTGCATGTTTACACGATGCTGCCCTGGGCCCTCTTCTCCCTGAACTCTTACTTGGCAATCTCACCAGCTCCCAAGATTCAATTATCAGCTCTGTAGAACTAACTCACAAATCCACATATCCAGCCTTCCCCTCTCATGAGCTCCAGACCCATATCACCAACTACCCACTCCACATACAGCATCCCATAAGCACCTCAAACTCAAAGCATCCAACAAATGTCTTACTTACTCCCACTAAACCCACCCCTCTTCTAACTTTCCTCCTTCATCCCTATCCTTTTAGTCTCCCTGGTTTACACCCTACGCACCATCCTTAATTCTTCCCTCTTACTCACTCTCCCCTCTCCAATCTAACCTCCACCCAGCTGCCAGGTTGACATTCCTAACACACAGATCTGACCATGTCACAACCACCACCCCTAACTCCCCCATCCCCCTATCCTCAGCTCAAAAAGTTTCAGGGGCTCCTTACTGGTTCCAGGATTAAATACAAATTCCTCTTGTACAGCACTTAAAGCTGTTCCTAACTCATCTTTCTCAACTTACTTCTACTCAACTCCTCAGGTGCTCTATAATCTAGCTAGACTGGCTTTTTTGCTTTCTCTTAACTGATATAAAATGTGAGTCTCTCAGTATTAATTATCCTCCCAACACCATTTAATAAGTCTTCCTTCCAACCTTAAGATTCTATAGTTCAGTGATTCCATGACTATACAAAAAGAGTGTCAGCTCATGTAACCTCAGACACAAAAGTGCCTTATTAGCACAACCTAAGCTATATCAAGAGATAGCTAGATGACTCAGTCAATAGAGTGCTGGGCCTGGCAGTCAGGAAGATCTGAATTCAAATCTGGCCTCAGATACTCACTAGCTATATGACCCTGGGAAAGTCACTTAACCCTGGTTGCCTCAGTTTCTCATCTATAAAATGAGCTGGAGAAGGAAATGGCAAACTACTCCAGTATCTTTGCCAAGAAAACCCCAAATAGGGTCTCAAAAAGTTACACACTACTGAACAACAAGAAGCTATATCAGAGACAACCTTCCTCCCTCCCCCTAAGCTGGAAAGGAATATGAATGGTAACATAATTCATAACTTTCCTTCCTAATCTATCCCTTTGCAGTCTAGTCATGACTCCTCACTAGGATCACAGCTGTTCAAAGGGTGTGATAAGCACGGATTCAGTCAAACCCCAAATGCTCTGGGAGGCAAGGTGTTAGTGGCTTCTTGGTGTAAGATCCTGGCTGGTGTGGGGAGTAGCAGCAATAAAGGCATACAGTCTTCCCATAGCTTCAAGCATACCTGGGCAAAGCCCTACCTAAGGTAACAGACTCTTTTCACTGATTCATTTTTGGCCTCTTATTAAAAATTACTCTTTATTTCCCTTGTGTTACAAAGCAACTTATCATAAAACCTGGTTCAGATGGGCAAAATGAAACACAGAAAATCTAACTAACTTGGCCATGACTATCTGGTTCAGTCAGGTCATAACTAGCTAAGACACCTCACTCCCAATTCTCCAGCTAAAGCTAACACCATCTCATAGACACAGAGCCTTAAGACCCAACAGTGCAGTTAGTTTAAAAAAAAAAACACTTTAGAAACATCCTTCCTCTGAACCAGAAAAAGCTCAAATGAGATAACTATTTAGAAAATTAAAGGAAAATGCTTACCTAAGGTGATGAGCTACCAGGAGAGACACTATAGCTGTAAATCCTCAGATGCTATTGCACTGCCCCCAGCCTGACTCAAGTGTCCTAGAGGCACCAGAGCAAACCAGATGTGTTCATTTTGAGGCAGCTGAGGAGAAAT